AGTGGAAAGAACGCGGGCTGAGAGCCAGGAGATCTGGACACTGTCTGGAGGAACAGGGTGGCTCACTCTTTCTTCATGAACCTCTTTGTCTCCAGTCTTAACCTGAAAGGCCCTGTCTGAAATGAAGGCATAATCACGAACCATTAAAATCTCTGCTCTTGGCCACCTTCCGTTATTTGCCAGTGAAAGTCAATTTAGAGTACACTGTTGTTAAGTCAAGTTTTGCTTGTGGCAGGAAGTGGGGGGGGACCTGATTAAATCTTTAAGTGCCATGATAAATGCAGAACAGTTTCTGGTTTGAGGACGGGGATGGAGCCTGGGGACCAGGGGAGCTGAGCATTTCCAGTGTGGGTTCCCCCAGCACTCGCCTGGCAGGATTTTCACATGGTCAGGTTTTGAGGAAGGAAAAAGAGGGCCAAGGAGTAGTATCTTTTCCCTTTTTTCCTTCTGCTTCAAACATACATAAATGGAATAAAAAGAGAAAGAAAATAAAAAGCCAAAAAGAAAACAGATGTCTCTCTATAATAGTTTCCATCCAGTTAGTATTGTTTTGACCATAAGGTCCCATAGAAGAGAAATGGAATAAAACTGTCTACATTTCACCCCAGACCATTTCCTGCATATATTAACCTAGACCTGTATAAGAAACAAATCACCTGGAAGGTGATGGGGAAGTCCCTGCGGTGTAGTTCAGCAATAAGAAGTCAGAGAAAGGAATCTGGCTGATTTGTCCATTAAAATGGTGCCATATGCATCTGCTAAAAAGCGTTTCCAGCTCCGGAGACTTGTTCCCCTTCCCTGGGGCCTTCTCAGACCCTGGCCCAGCTCACACCCCTTTCTCTACTGGTCAGCTCACAGTGGCATCATGCTGCAAGCGCCCATTAAACATGTAGAGAACAGAGATGTATCTTCATATGCTAAGGGTTCCCATTTCTCCCACAAATGAAGAAAACTGAATTACCCACAGGACTTCCCTCATTTAAAAAAATATTTTAAAATCCTATTGCATCACTCCCTCCATGAGAAGTCCTTGCCTCTCCTAGCTTTTTCCTTTTACTGGAATTCCCCAAATTGATTCAGGGTTCAAGTCCTGGGTATCATTTATTTGGATGACTATTCTCTTTTTATTCATGTTTATTTAATTTTATTGATTTCAGAGAGAGGAAGGGAGAGGGAGAGAGAGAAACATCCATGATGAGAGAGAGACTCATTGATTGTCTGCCTCCTGCACGCCCCCTACTGGGGGTCAAGCCAGAAATTCAGGCATGTGCCCTGACTGGGAACTGAACTGTGATCTCCTGGTTCATCGGTTGATGTTCAACCATTGAGCCACACCGGCCGGGCCTCATTCACGTTTTTACTTACAGTATCAATCTTTACTATTATGATATTTAAAATCAAATTATCTTTCTGTTTATAAAAGTGATATAAAGTTACACAAAAATATTTACATTATACTTTTTATGATTATAAAAACATTCTAAGTAAGTAAAATGAAATTTTGTTTTTCCATTAATGCATGGTTCAAAAACTGTTGGATGAATTTTCACCAAATGTAGAAGGGATGTTTGGGATGGCCTGGTTTAGAAAAGAGGCTACATGGCATACATGGGATTCAGACGGGGCACTCTGGGCCGTCATCCTCCTGGGCAGCTGGACGTGAGGTGCAGCGAGAGGCCTGTGTGCTGTTGATGGGAGTAGATTTGCCAAACACATTAGGAAGCTGAGGATAGCTTCAGACATGAACCCCACACCCAACGTCTTGAGAATCAGTGTTCTGAACTGCAGGCTCAACCTTTCATGGATGCTACATATCATCAGTGGTAACAGGGACTGCTGTCTTTGATGATGACTTCGAGTTTTCCTGAGCTGAGTTGCTGGGGCAGCCAGTAAATAACAGTAACAATAGTTACATCAACAATAGCAACAACAATATAGTAAAGCATTTGCGAATGTTTGCTCTCTGTAAGGGTGGTAATAGGTATGGGGCATGCATTGCATCATTTAATCCCCCACAACAATCTCTGAACCAAGTGGTACTGCTATATCTTTTTCAGGGATGAGGACATGGAAATCTCCAGAAGTTAAACAACTTGTTCCAGGTCATAAAGTTGGTAAGTGGCAGAGCCAGCATTCAAATCCAAAGTCCCTGATCCCAACCACCAGGCTTATTTCTAGCAACAGACTCGCATGGTGTGGTCACATGTTGTGGTAAAACACTGCTTCCTTAGAACTGACACCAGGTCACCAAAACACTGCACCCATGGCTCAAACCAGTTAGCCTTGGTCACCAGGCTCTTCAGTTATCTGATACACCACATCCCCAGCCTCTGATTTTCTGACACCCGCGTCCAGCCCATGGGGCTAAGGCCACATTACTCCCTGGCCTCCTTGTCTGGTGTTCTCACTTCCACCTCTCCACCTGCTGCCACGCTGCTTCTGAGCAAGGCGGCGCTCCATCTCTGCTGCCAAGTCCTCTCCCTCCTTGCTCAGGGGCAGGCAGCACCCGGTGCTCCCTCCTGCCCAGGCTTTGCTCAGTGGGAATGATACTGTTTAATTAGCTAGTTATTAATAATAGGAAATGAGCAAAGGGGGGGAGCCAGACATTATAGGCATGTCATTTGGGCAGCTTCACCAGGAGGCTACAATTTCACACTCCCCAGAGAACCACCAGCCCATTCCCCATAGATTACTGGGGGAAGGGACCAGACTAAGGGGAAAATGGGTGCATATACAGGAAAGTTGGAGTGACATAGGGAAGGTGCCTGGCAGTCAAACTTGGGAACAGAGATCATTGGCCAGAGTGGGCAGGGCCACTGCAAACCTGCAAAAATGTGGGAATGCATAATCCCCTAGACAAAGGAGCTAGTGCTCTTGTGTGACTCCTGGAGCTCTCCCTTGGCTCTCTGGTTCCTTTGGCTTTGCTCCTGCCCGTGTTCCCTCCATAGCTGCATGGCCCAGGGCCCTGGGGACCCACACACGATGGACTGATAGACTGCAACTGTGAACACCAATTAAGCTAGCCTGCTGCTGTACTGGACTGTGCGGACATGGAATGGAAACTCTGGGCCCTTGCTTTGATCTTAGCCCCGCTGAAGGCAAAATGGGACTTCTTCCTTAGTGGGACAAAGGGAAATGGGATCTTGGAAATGCAGGTGTGTAATTCCAGAGATATAAAGCTCTTTTACAATATCTCATCCTCCCCTGTGAGTCTCAGAAAATTCTTTTCTTGGGATATCTCAAGAAGCCCACTCCCATAGCAACCCATGGAGACACGGAGATCTCCCCACAGGGAACAGAACACAGGAGTTTCTTACCTATAAAAATCCTCTCCCGCCCTCTATGTACCAGTCTCTGAAGCTGATGCTTCACTTAAGGCTGCTCTGGCCATGTATGCTTAGGGAAAGTGCTTACCATTATTATTAGTCCCTTGTACACAGCTTCAGACCTTGGGGCTGCAAAGTTGGGTGCAGATTTAACAAACATTTTTGTTCATGGCCAATGTTATTCTACTATGTTCCAGGGTTGCTTTAGGTACTGGAGATACAATAGTTAACAAAAGCTTACAGCAGTCCTTCCCTCATGGAATATCCCTTTTCCCTTTCTGGGTTAGGGTGCATACTCCCATAGAATAGTTCTGGAGAAGTACTGCCTGGAGTCATCTCCCAGCCTTTCTACTTATAGTCTGTGTGACTTCGATTAAGTCAGTTAACCTCTCTGTGTCTCAGTTAATAAATTGGAAACATTCATAGCATTTCTCTCAATGATGTCATTAGAATTAAATAAGTTAAAATAGTTAATAATCTATAGTAATGTATTTAGGACAGTAGCTGTAATATTGTGACTTATAATAAATATATATTTGGTCTTCCTCTTAAAACCCTTGGAATTTCTTAAGTGATGAGAGTTATAGAGGTGTCTTTTGTTATGTTAATGAGGAAACTTTTGAAACCACCTAAGAATTGGAGGCGGGTTCCCAGGGGAAACAACCGTGAGATTACAAGGTTGTAACTTTTAGTACCAACCCTGACCTCTGAGAAGAAGAGAGAGGCTGGAGATTGATTTCAATAACCGATGACCAATGATTTAGTTAATCATTCCTGTACTGAAGCCTCCATAAAAGTCCAAAAGGATGGGGCTCTGAGAGCTTCCAGGTTGGTGGACATGTGGAGATCTAAGACGATCTGCATACTTTCCCCATACCTTGTCCTATGCATCTAGTCTATCTGGCTATTCCTAAGATATGTTCTTTTATAATAAACTGGTGATCTAGTAAGTGAAAGTTTTCTCTGAGTTCTGTGAGCCACTCTAGCAAATTAAACCCATGAAGGGGGTTGTTGGGACCTTCAATCCATAGCCAGTTGGTCAGAAGCACAGGTGACAACCCTTAAATTGCCATTGATATCTGAAGTGTGTGTGTGTGGGGGGAGGGGCAATCTTTAGGATGGAGCCCTTGACTTGTGGGATCTGATATTATATCCAGGTAGCATCAGAATTGCTAGGTGGTATAGACATCAAGCCTAGTTGGGTGCTGAATCACAGTGGCACACTTTAAGTTCCTAATGTATGTTAACTATTACTGTTACTTTATTTAGATAATTAAATATGTAGATGGAAGAGATCTTCCTTTGGTAGTATTCTCCACTAGGCTGTAAACTTCTTAAAGGCAAAGGCCAAGATTTCAGTTCTTTTGTGTTTGCCACACCTGGTATTATAATGCTTCCACAGCTCCGGCAACAGATAACTGCTCTTGACTGACAGGGCCAGCAGAGGACACGTCTGCTTTGAGGTCAGGATAGATCTGGGCTATCTTCGGGCAAAACTGTGTTCACCGGAGGGATTCCATTCTTATTATCACATTTTTTGAGAAAAGACAAAGGTACACCAAGTGCTTTCTGTTGTTTGTGTAAGAGAACTTGCTTTAATTTCTCTTGAAACACGTCCCAAGGTTCTCATGTTAGAAAACATCCTCTGCCTCAAAAGGAAATGACATGACTCACCTTGATTTTTCAATGGTAAAGGCATAGTTTCCCTGAGTTTGCTTAAAAGGTTTTTCATTTCTCGCATGTCTCTGTAAAAGTGATAGAAAGAAAAAATCGTCAGCTGTAAATTCTGGAAATGCAATCTCAGTCTGTTCTGTGATTCAACGGAAGGACAAGAGTCTGTGCTTAATTGTACTAGCTCTAGTTGCAACAAGCAAATATTGAATCTATTTTGCTTTTATAAGAAAAACAACAACCCAAGATGAGTGACTCTCGGAGGAAAGAGAACTAGCCTGGCCGAGATTTCTCTCGGACATTCTGCTGCAGGAGCCCTCATCTCTGCCATGGGTTGGACCTGGCCAAGATCAGGGAAGAGCCCCTGGTCACGAGGATAGTACTTCAGATTTCCAGGGGGAGGCGGAGGACACACAACTAGAATAATGGGGTTACCCTGGGTAAAGCTGAGGCTGGATACTGGTCAGATGGCTGTTGTGGTTGTGTAGGTTCACTCCCTGTTGTCTCTCTTTACCGGGATTGGAATTTGGTGTAACACAGGTGTTAAGCATTCACAGGGCTAATATTTATTAAACTGACTTGGAATGATGGGAGAGAGTATGACAAATTCTAACACTGTCAGAGAAGAGCTCTTCATAGTGGATGAAACGGAGAGAGAGAGGGAGAGAAAGAGAGAGATGTGACAAGGGGTGGTGGGGGTGGTGGAGGTGGTGGTGGTGGTGTGGGACAGCTGGGCCTTCCTCTAGACCAGTGGTTCTCAACCTTCTGGCCCTTTAAATACAGTTCCTCATGTTGTGACCCAACCATAAAATTATTTTTGTTGCTACTTCATAACTGTAATGTTGCTACTGTTATGAATCGTAATGTAAATATCTGATATGCAGGATGGTCTTAGGCGACCTCTGTGAAAGGGTCATTCGACCGCCAAAGGGTTTGCGACCCACAGGTTGAGAACCACTGCTCTAGACACTGGCCTATATGTCTGACACTGCATACCTCCAACATCCTTCCTCATCCCAGACTACCTATGACCAAGAGACCACAGAGCTGGAGAGTCAGAAGCCATCTTCCTAGTAGGAGGAGGCAAGATGGACTTTTCAAATCTTTGGGATAGTGGTTCCCCATATGTTCAGCAATAGTTATCCACTGGAGTCAGCACCCTTGAAATTCCAAGACATAGTGGTGGATTTCATTTGAAAGAGTAAATATCAGATACATCTTTTTTGTTAGGCAAGCAATAGCTGGCACTCAGGATTTAAGAGAAAAAAAAAAAAGGTTTTTCTTGCGGGGGGGGGCGGGGGGCGGGGGATAATCTTAAAATGAAGGATATACTATCTATTAATCAATTTTTTCCTGCCATTTGAGGAAATAGAGCCATATTTTAATTTTACGTTTAAAATCCCTCAGTCCATGTCATGAAACACAACTGTTCTGTTGAGTATAGTTTGAGAACCACTTGCCCTAGGGCAGTGGTTCTCAACCTTCCTAATGCTGCGACCCTTTAATACAGTTCCTCATGTTGTGGTGACCCCCAGTTTCATTGTTACAAATTGAACATAATTAAAGCATAGTGATTAATCACAAAAACAATATGTAATTATACATGTGTTTTCAGATGGTCTTAGGCGACCCCTGTGAAAGGGTCGTTTGACCCCCAAAGGGGTCGAGACCCACAGGTTGAGAACCGCTGCCCTAGGGAGACCCCTATGGGCTCTCCTCCTCAAGTATTGACTGGTATGTGAAAAGGAACTCGGGAGTAGCTGTTGGAAAAGGAGCAGAAAGCAGCCTGTGGATCTGTAGAAATACACCTGTATAAACACGCAGAACACTTTCCTCAGGTGTAAGGATTGTCTGTGCGGTACTGCATATTGCTAAGCCCCAAAGGGTATTTCTAGAAAGAGAAGTGGGGGAGAGGGAGAAGGAGGACAGGGCCCTGCACCCAGAAACACAAGGGCACCCTATGTTTTCCTGTGACATTCCCAAGGGTCGATGGGATGGTGGGTGGTGGGCAGGCACAAGGTGGGAAAGGGCTAGTAATGCAGTATGAGAGGCAAGGTCTCCTTGGAGAGTACCCTTTCTCGGCCTTGGACGCTTCATGGGAGAATCACCTTTTGCTGAGCCCTACTCCCTGACAGCCTGATTTGGTTGGTTTATGGTGGGGTCCAGTCATCAATGTTTTTAAAAAGTCCTCCTGGTGATTGTGATGTGCAGCCCAGTGTAAGATCCTAGGGCTTAAAAACAGAGGAACTGTGGAAGCCACCCTCCCAGACAGGTCTATATTCCTGCTTCTCTCAGTCATTCCCATCTCCTTCAACCTGAATCCAGGCTTTAGGATAAACTGAAACACAGCCAGCTCCTTGGGCTATACGCCCCTATTGTTATGGCTAGCCATAGCTTGCTTCTGCAAGCATAAGAGTTTGGATGTGGCTTCTCTGCGAAAAAGATTTTGCTGATTTTGCTGATGGCTTATGCCCTGACCACAGCCCTCTGGCAGATATTTCTTCCTGGGCATAGAGCAAAACATTTTCCATTTTATAAATTAAGATAAATCACTCCCTCATCATTTGTCTATAGTTCTAGCAAACTGTGCCAAACAGCTTTATTGTTTGAATTGTTGGATTTACAAGCTTATACAAAATCCAAGTTTTATTAATAGTACATAATTACCACATGCTTCAATTTTCTATAAAACACAGAAATTTGGCAATTAGCTTTAGAATTATATTATGATCTGAACCACAATGGCTATAAATGCCCTCGTGTGTTACATTTCTAAAAATTAAAAAAGAAAATGTTTCTTATCTTGTCAATGACTCCCCCCCCACACACACACACACCCCACACACACCCCCTCACACCCCGCACAGAGCGCTGGGTGGAAATGCCCAGCATTCATTCAGCTGCTTTGTGCAGGCGCTGGGGACATCAGTAGCAAAGGACAAGATATTAGCTTGAAGGACAATAAACAAGCACCTTGTCCTTCTGCCTCACAGAACTGCATTTTTAGCATCTAGATGAGACATGGCACTTATCCTTGCACCCTTTCCTCAAGTGAAACAGAATCACTGTAGAATCTCTTCTTCCCAAGAAAGAAACTCCCTGTCTAGCAGTGAGCAACTGCTCGCTAAGACAGATGCATTAACTCGCTTTGACCACTAAGGGGCCATCAGCTACATTCTGGGAGAATAAGAGAAGGGAGCCCAGCAAAAGGCTGTTTGTGAACTAGACAGCATGCTCAGCCCCTGCGTGGCAGCTAAGCAGGCCATTCCAAGCATCTGAAATCCGAGAACCTCCCAGAGGCATCTTGGCACAATTTGGGGACCCAGCCCACTAGATAAGCTGTGACAGTACGTAGATCCAACTTTCTCCCTTGCCAAGGAAGCACACTGTTTTATTTCCATGGAGACGCGATTGTGGTAGAGTAGGGTGAGCAAGCCTGCCTCCACAGGAGGTTCTGCTGCTGTTCCATGGCAGTTTGGACCCCTTAACTTCTCAATCCAGTTTTCTGAGCGCTCTGTTTCTGACTCTGAAACACAAAATCTTGACTCTCTGCAGCCCAGAGGAGTGGAGGAGGATTGGCAGTCTATTTAGGGTAACTTCCCACTTACCTTTCAGTGTTCTCAATGTCTGTGGAAACCTGCCAGGCATGCTGCTGCGTATCTACGGGGGATGAAGCGGAGTCCTCTAGAGCAGGTGGTTCAGTGCTCTCTTCAATTTTGCAATCCAAACTCTTGGTTCCCCCTCCAGGCTCCTTTCCTAAGGGGCAGGGAGGTGGGGCCGGGGGTAGGGGGTGTTGGTAAAGAGGAGACAGACAAGAAATCATAAGTGCAGCTGTATGCCCAAGATGTCATTACAAAGGTTGGCTATGCTTTGGACCAAATGCTCCATTGACACTAATTTCTGAATACTAAAATAATTGATGTGTAAAAATAAATGTGTGTGTGTGTGTGTGTGTGTGTGTGTGTGTGTATGTGTGTAGCATGTTTGCACAACATTCTAGGAAAGATAGCTTGAGGTTGATGCAATTTGAAGATCAAAAGTAAAGGTCCTGTCTTTGATGGAGTGTTGGTGCTCTGTAACCCATTCTTGGGGAGTTAGATCAGGAGAAGGAGATAAGCAATTAAGTGGTGATGAACTATATACCATTCATCAGCCTAGAGTAGAAATGAGCCTCTGAATATGCAGCCAAAGCACAAACACAATTCACTGATGAGAACTTTTGATCATTTTGCGTGGACTTTATGCACATTGATCCTGGGTAATGGAATTGCTTTTCCAATTTTATGGCATGCTGTTGGGTGGAAATTAATTAAGCACACAATTTAGCATATTACCACTTCACAGTGGGAGGGCACTGACCTCTTAAAAGCTTTTGCAGTGTGCTTCCTGGGAGAGTGCAGCAAATGCAGTCCATTTGCTCCCCACCTCTGGGTAGGTCAGCGTAGGATGCTAGTCTGTGAGATTGAAATGCCTTGGGGAATGGGGTATGGTTTGGGCAGCAAAGAAGATACACACAAATGGAATTCCTTGCTCTGTGGGCTCTGCCTGGCTTAGGGGCCACAGTGGCCCCTGTCCTGCCATCAGGACTCTAGTGCCCAAAGGTTTTACTCCTTATTTCAAAATGAATTCACCTCCTTATTTCAAACTGAAATATATCAGGTATATTATATTAGTTTCAGGGATACTAATTAGTTTCAGGCATATTAGCTTTAGAGAACAGGTAGTATAATGTTCCTTCTTGGAGTCCTCTCTCTACCTTCCTCATAGGTACACCTTTTACAACACAAGCATCAATAGAATCCAATTCATGACCACTTTGTTTGCACTTACTGCCTGTAATAATTCTACTTTTATAAGACAAATACCATTCTATAGCTTTTTCAAAGTAAAATAACTATTCATGTATTCCTGAAACGCCTATGAGATTGTAATGGCAAGCAATATCCTCCTTTTCCTCACCTAGCTCTATAATGTGTGAGATTGTAATGGCAAGCAATATCCTCCTTTTCCTCATTTTCCAGACCTAGCTCTATAATGTAGATGAACAAGAATAGCTCTTGAACGTTGGACTTGAAGTTCAGTACTTGTGTCAGCTCACAAACTCTCTGAAAAAATTTCAGAATGTTATCTTTAAATTTTTGAGTTATGAAAGGACTTCGAAATATGTCTAGGGATGGATTCTTATTATATTAACTAGAGACCCTATGCACGAAATTCATGCAAGAGTAGGCCTTCCTTCCCCTGGCTGCCGGCACTGGCTTCCTTCTGGCACCCGGGACCCGGGCTTCCCTTGCAGCCTCGCCTTCATCGGGAAGATTGTCCGGAAGGATGTCTGGTCTAATTAGCATATTATGCTTTTATTATTATAGATTTTTTTTGGCATTTGATTGGCATTTGCAATCAATTTCCTCCCTTTTTTTTTGTTAATCCTCACCTTTTTTTTTTATCCCCCCCCAAGGATTTTTTTCCTTTTTTTTTTTTTTTTTTTTTTTTAGAGTGGAAGAAACAGGGAGAGACATAGAGAAACATTGATGTGAGAGAGACACATTGATTGGTTGCCTCCCACAGGCACCCTGACCCGGGCCAGAATGAGCCTGCAACCTAGGTACGTGCCCTTGACTGGAATCAATCTGCAGGCTGCTGCTCTAACCACTGAGCTAAACCGGCTAGGGCAATTTCCTTCTATTTCTTATTTTGAAAATTAGCAAACCTACAGCAAACTTTCAACAATGATACAATGGACACCCAGATATTCTAGTTTCACAAATTGTTAATAATTAGCCATATTTTCTTTTATATTTCATTCTCTCTGCTTCTGTCTCTCTCATCTATATGTGTATGTATTGTACATAGGTTTCATATATTATATTGATCATATATATTTTTTCTATATAAACAATTTAGAAGTAAGTTGCAGACATTAATGACACTTTATCCTTATTACTTCAGCATATATTTCATAAGGAACAAGGATGTTTTCCTATATAACCTCTAAATAATTATTGTATCCCAAAAAATCTTTGGTTAAATATGAGTCAATGCAATTTGGTACAGTGCCATTATTTAATAGTCTATATTAAAATTTCCATAATTGTTCCAATAATATCCTTTATAGGTTTTTTTTTTAATCAAAGGATCCAATTAAGGATTATGGACTGCATTTAGTTATTCTGTTTCTTTATTTTCCTTTTATTTAGAACAGCACCCTTATCTTTTTTTGGTCTTTCATGTTATTGATATTTTTGAAGGAAGAGTCCAGGCCAGTTGTTTTATAGAATGTCTTTCATATTGGATTTGTCTGATTATTTCATATGTCTAGATTACGAGTAAACCTTTTGGCAAGAATATTATAGAAGTGATATTTTGACCTTCTTACGTTGTGTCAGAAAGCACATGAATCAGTTTGTTCCATTATTAATGATGTTAGTTAAGTGTTATTGATTGCTTGGGTAAGGTGGTTTCTGCCAGCTTTTACCATTGTAGATGTAGCATTTTCTCTTTGTAATGAAATATCTATGGAGAAATTTGTTGATATGTTATGGCCTTTCAATTTAAATCTTTGTTTAGGCTTTAGAAATTTTTATCTATTTTTGTTGATTACTTCTTTCTATTCTCTCTGTTCTTTCAGAATTCCATCTATTTTTCTTAACTACCCCCCATACTCCATAATTATTTTTGAGGTAAATTCTGAGATAATACCATGACTTGATTTTTCATTTCATTATTTTAGGCTCTCAGTATGTCCATTAAAATAATTAAGAACTGTGAAGGGTTTGAGATTTTCCTCTATCTGTGAGTTAGCCTGCTACAGTTTAATAGATACTGGAAGAAGACATGAGACTCCTGGGTCGGAGACAGCTTATTACTCACACAATGGCAGTAGCCAGAGTATCAGCATTGGTTTCTTGAGTCCTAATTCCCACAGGGAGATACAAAAAAGGCCAGATCTTATCCATACATCCAGGAGCCTGTGTGACAGAACAGGAATGCTGAGCTTAGGGATTTTGAGTCTTTTTATAAGCATGTCTGCCTTTTGCTCCAGAGGGAAACATTTTCATTATACTGAATAGTAAGCATGCTTTGCTCCAGAGGGAGACACTGTCTCTATTTCCCAAGGTATTTACTAAATAAACATCCTTGAAAAGTAGTGTAAAACAAGGGCCAGTCAGTGCCTCACTTTGCAAGATGTACAGAAATGCAAGAGACTAAAGGAGAATTGTCTTCCAACAGTAATTAATCCAGCTATTGCATTTTTATTGGTTGATACCATTTTTGTTTCCAATGAATCTGGCTGCTTCCTTCTGTTTGCAGACAATTATTGTTTTATGGGTATGACAGACTAATAAAACTTTCTGAGAATACTGATTACATATATTTTGAATTCTTCATCTGTTTCCACTTTAAAATTTGTTCTTCAAGTATCAGTTGTTTGTTTTTTGAATTTGGCATTTTCCTGTCAGGGTATTGGTTTTTCTTAAAAATCTAGTCATTCCTGATGTCTATTTGATACCATTGTAAATAACCTGGTTATTCATAAGATAAAAGGAGCAAAGGAAAGGCCAAATAGTATAGTCATTTATGCAGTTTTGCCAGGAAACGGCAGTTGAATACTCCCCATGAAGCCACCAGTCTGTCCCCCACTGGGGAAACGGACTAGACAGGGGAAGAATAGGCGCATGCCCAGTAAAGTCTAGGTGACATAGGGAAGGTACTTGTCTATGGCTCACACCTGGGAGCAGGTCATTGGCCAGCATAGCATGGCCACAGCAAGCATGGGAAGATTTGAGATACTTTAACTCCTAAACAAAGGAGTTTGCTCTCTCTTCCTCTTGCCTCTTGCCTCACACTCCTGCATTCACCCACAATTCCCATAGCCATGTGGGCCCCACACAATAGACTGATGGACTGTAGCTAGCCTATTGCCAAACTGGATCCAGCTCTACTCTGGACATGGGCTTTGCTTTTAGCTCTGCTGAAGCCCCAGCTGCACATCTTCCAGGACTGGATTAAGGGAAATGGGACTTTAGAAACTGAGGGATGCAATTCCACACAAATAAATATCACTCATCCTCCAGTGCGAGTCTCAGAAAATTCTTTTTCTTGAGATATTATAAGGACCCCACTTCCACTAGCAAAGGAGAAAGACCACCCACACATTTCTTTGATAACATATTCAGATTAGCCTTTGAGGACATCTGTTTGCCTATCATTCTGATTACAATATCCTCTTTCTGGTTATTGTAGGGGAGGGGGAGGATGTGTGGCTGGATAAGGTGTGTCTAAAGCTTATAAAGGGTGCTTCTTTCTTATTTTTGAAAAGAGGTTTTAATTTTATTTTTCAATTATGGTTTATATTTAGTATTATTTTGCATTAGTCTCAGGTGTACAGCATAGTGGTTAATCATCATATACTTTACAGAGTGTTCCTCAGTATTTCCAGTACCCACCTGGCACCATACATAGTTATTACGATACTAGAGGCCCAGTGCATAAAATCGTGCATGGTGGGTTCCCTCGGCTGGGCCAGAGATTGGGGCCTATGGGGAGGGGGCGGCCGGCATGGGGGAGGGACCGCAGGAGGTTGGCCAGCTTGCCCCCCCATCGGGGCCATCAGGGGGGACAGCCGGCAGTGGGGAGGGACCACAGGAGGTAGGCTTGCTGGGGAGAGGAGCTGTGGGAGGTTGGTGGCCGCCAGCCCCCCAATTGGGGACAATCAGGGGGAGGGGCTGGCTGGGGGGAGGGGCCACAGAGGTTGG